GAGTTGACCCTTCACCTCCTCCAGTGCAGATCCTTACTGAACGACCACCGATCCGGCACGTGTATACTCATCGACAGACATCGGCTCCTCCTCCAGCTTCTACCTTGTTTGTGGATCCTGTTGTTGCTCCTGTCCAGAACCTTCAAGACTTGATCTTCCCATTGCTTTACGGAAAGGTAAACGTAGTTGTACTCTCCATCCCATTTCCAATTTTGTTTCAGTCTCTCACCTTTCCGCTTCACATCGCCAATTTGTTCATTGTTGTCATCTATTTCTATACCTAAGAATGTCCAATAGGCTCTTAGTTCACCTGGGTGGCGGCAGGCAATGGAGGAGGAACTCTCTGCCTTTCAGCATACTCAAACGTGGGAGCTCACTACTCTTCTTCCCGGTAAGCATGTTGTGGGTTGTAAACGGGTGTATACTGTTAAATACTTGCCGAATGGTAGTGTGAAGCATCTGAAGGCCAAACTTGTTGCTAAAGGTTATTCACAGTTGTATGGGGTGGACTATATGGAGACCTTCTCTCCAGTAGTTAAGATTGGCTCTGTCCGTGTCTTAATTTCCCTGGCAATTATGTAAGATTGGCCCTTGTTTCAACTTGACATTAAAAATGCCTTCCTTCATGGTGACCTTATGGAGGAGGTATATATGGAGCAACCACCTGGGTTTGTTGCTCAGGGGGAGGATGGTAAGGTGTGCATATTGAAAAAGGCAATTTATGGGTTGAAACAATCGCCTCGTGCTTGGTTTGGGAAGTTTAGTAAAGTGGTGAAGAATTTTGGAATGAAACAATGCCAGGTTGACCACTTGGTGTTCAACCATGATTCAGAAGCCGAAAAGATTTTACTAGTGGTCTATGTGGATGATATTGTCATATCTGGTTGTGACAAATTGGGGATCGATAAACTAAAGGTCTTTTTGCAAAACCGTTTTCAAACAAAAGACCTTGGGACATTGAAGTATTTCTTGGGTATAGAAGTTGCTAGATCAAAATAAGGTGTAAACCTATGCCAAAGAAATTATGTTCTTGATCTGCTAGATGAAACATGACTGTTAGGTGCAAAACCGACTGAATCTCCCATGGAGCCAAATGTTAAGTTGAGTAGTGATACAGGGGAAATATTTGATGATCCTGGAAGGTATAGACGGTTAGTGGAGAAGCTGAACTAATTGACTATCACGAGACCAGACATCTCCTTTGCAGTCAGTGTGGTGAGCCAATTTATRCAGAACCCTTGGATACCTCACTGGGATGCAGTTCTTAGAATTATAAGGTACCTGAAGGGAGCTCCGGGCCGTGGGTTATTGTACAAACCAGGAGGAAGACTTAAGGTAATTGGGTATACAGTTGTAGATTGGGCAGGCTCTGTGTCTGATAGAAGATCTACTACAGGTTACTGCACATTTCTTGGAGGAAATCTTGTGACATGGAAGAGTAAGAAGTAGACGGTTGTGGCAAGGAGTAGTGCTGAAGCCGAATACAGAGCCATGGCACACACTACATGTGAATTAGTATGGCTGAGGAATCTCCTACAAGAAATCGGGTTCTGCATGGATAGACCTATGAAATTGTACTGTGACAATCAAGCTGCACTCCACATCTCATCTAACCCTGTTTTTCATGAGAGAACAAAATACATAGAGATTGATTGCCACTTTGTGAGGGAGAAGATCCTTACTGGAGAGATAAGCATAGAACATGTGGGCTCAGGTGATCAATGGGCAGATTTGTTTACAAAAGGCTTAAGCTTAGGGAGAGTGAACTATATATGTAACAAGCTAGGATTATATGACATATATTCTCCAACTTGAGGGGGAGTGTTAGAGCTAGCCGAATAAAGGTAGATTAGTCATTCTATTTCTGTTAAGTTATGTGCTTATGTAGCAGTTTTAATAGAGACTTCTTGTCCCATACTTAAGT